GTGTGTGTGTGCGCGCGTGCGTGTGTGTGTGTGTGTGTGTGTGTGTGTGTGTGTGTGTGTGTGTGTGTGTGTGTGTGTGTGTGTGTGTGTGTGTGTGTGTGTGTGTGTGTGTGTGTGTGTGTGTGTGTGTGTGTGTGTGTGTGTGTGTGTGTGTGTGTGTGTGTGTGTGTGTGTGTGTAGGCATGCATATACAACTACCGTTCCATCCCTGCCTGCTCACCTTCCCTTATCCACCATCTCAACCCCTCCGCCTCCCCAACACACATGTACGTGAGTAGGAGTTCAACCTGGTGGACAAGAAGGAGCTTGAGCCGATGCAGGAATTGATTGACCGGTTGTTGGAGAAGGACCGCCAGAAGGAGGCGAAAGAGGCATCGTCCCACGCAGCCTCGTAACTTCCATTGACTTCCCTTACACAAGCAGCCCCTCGCACGCTCTTCTTCCCCTTGCTGTGAGCATCTACAGGGATGCTTGATCTTCCGTTCTGCTTCATGTCTGTTTTCCACCAAACACACACACACACACACACACACATTCTCCCTTAGTGCGTCATGTGGTCGAGAGTTATTTTGTGTCGTTTGTGTTTGCCGTCACATCACGTCACAAATGGCACCTGTTGTTGCACGTTCCCTTCTTTCGTTCTGCTTTGCCTTTTCTGTTTTTGATTTGGTTTCCAATGTGGTGTTGTCGATGCGTGCATGCGCTCGTTCCTTAGCATGCCCTCACAGACACACACACACACACACACCATAAACTACACGACACGAGCGCTGGCGCTATCTTCGCACGAGCAATTCACACACCAAGAAACACAAAGCGCACGAAACACAAGATACACACATACAAACGAACTAAGCACACAAGACACACACACACACAGCACAACAAACACACACACACACGCGCAGCACAAACAAACACAAAAAAAAAACGATCAAACAAGCAAACACAAACAAACAAACAAACAAACAAGCAAACAAACAAACAAACAAACACACCCACCACACACACACACGCGCGCGCGCACACACGCACACACGCACACACACAACGCCCCTCCGCCCGCCTCGCGTTAGTGCTTGACCGCTTCATCATAGCCTGTTTCGCGCATGCGACGCTGGATAAACCCATAGAACTGCGGCTTGGCCTCTATGCGGCGGGCATACTCCGGGTCGTTGTGCACCTTTACCGCCTGCTTCCGCATGCAGTCAATCATGAAATGCGCAACCTTGCGCAGGCCAAGGTCGACGGCACACGCCGGCAGCGCGTCCACCTTGGGATCCAGGGTGGCATACAGCTGGACGAAGGTTCCTGTCGCCTGCTCCATGCCCGGGTTCACCTCGGCCGGGGTGAGCACAATGGCGCCCATGGGCATCTCCGCCGTGACGACGCCAGACCGCGCTGGCGGGGAGCCGAGGTGTTGCGTCTCCTCCTTCAGGCGCACAAACTCTGGGTCGGCCTCTGCGGAGCGCATGAGGATGACCACCTGCCGCCGAAACGCCTCGCTCTCGTCCAGGCAGTCGACCCCGTTGATGAAGATGCTGAGGTTGCGATTGGAGAATGGCCAGGGGATGGAGTTGAGGAACTCCACCCACAGCTTTGTGGGCGAAAACTCGTGCACCACGTTGGACTCTGTGATGCCAAAGCCAAGCGCGGACGGCATCCACTGCGGGTGCAGGTCCACCTCGTACAGAATGGACAGGATCTCAAACATGGGGAAGTCCATCCAGCCCTCCACGCGGATCGTGTGCATCGCAGCATCCCGCTCGTGTCGGTAATATGTGTTGGTGCCGCCCGATGACCGCTGGAGCGTCCAGCCCTCCTCACTGGCAAGTGTCCTCCGGATCTGCTGCACGTCGTCGCTGTATTTGCGGAGCATGACGACCACGTCATCCTGAGCCAGCCGATGCCGCAACTTGGCCACACGCGCCGCCACATCCGCTTTCTTGGAGGCGCGGGCCGACGTCGACGACGATGACGACGAGACTGAAGATGAGCGGCGAGGAGGAGAAGAAGGTGCATGCTGGTCATTATCATCAACATCGCCAACTTGCTCATGTTCTTGTTGTTGCTGCTGTTCATGTCCTAGTTCTTCTTGTTGTTCATGTTCTTGGTGTGGCTCTGCTTCTGCATCTCCGTCTTCACCCGCTGTCCCCTGTTCACCCGCTGTCCCTTGTTGCTGGTTCTGATCAAGATTGCTGACGTCATCGTCATCACCTTGTGCAGTAGTACTGCCGCCGCTGCTGCCGTCGCCGCGTGTCACATCGAATGCAGGGCACGTGTCAACAAAGTCCTGCACGCGGTCCACAAGGGCACGCGCTCGCATGCACCGATCGCAGCGGTACAGGTCCACGGCCTCTTCTAACGTCCGCTCTGCCTCTTCCACAGCCCGCTCCATGCTGAGACAAACACTTGCTTGTCTTGACAAACAAAAACAACACAAGGCCAACAACAACGGGTGGGGTGGTGGTTGCGCTCCCTTCTTGTTGTGCTTCACCTTTGCCTGCGGATACAATTGAGCCTGAAGTCAGTCTGTCAAACTGATTTCAGTCGAACACAACCCTGGAATTGCTGCCGCAAAGCAAACCAGAAGAAGCGGCAACGACACTTGCTTGCAACAGCAACAACAGACCAAACAGCATGGTCACATCAAGGACGTGCTGACGTCGGCTGCGTGTGTGCCCAACTCGGAGCAACATCAAGTTCAGCAGCACCACCACCTCCACCACTGAAAAAACAGCAAAACACGTGGATGGGAGGAAGAGAAGGAGGTGTTTGGCCCTATCCCTCAGAAACACAGAAACGTAGGCACAGAAACATCGAGAAACACGGCACCACCCTGCTGTCCTGCAAGCCTGCAGAAGTGCTCGCTGCCTCTCTGTGTGCGCGCCTGTGTGCGTGTGAGTGTGCGTCGTCTATTTGTCGCAGAAAGAGGAGCAACAACTCTCGAACACAAAGCGGGAATTGTAACAACGAGAATATAAGAAAGCAAGAGATGAGAACAGCGCAGACAATATAAGAGCAACAACCCACTGCTGCAGCCAAAACCATGATGCGCCAAAAGGCGGCGGCCCCAGAAATTAAGTGCGCTCTGAAACGCACGCGAGCAGAAACGAGCCCAACGCTTGCGCGCCGCACCCAAAAACACAGTCAACGAGAACAACAGCAAAACTGGTCACAGAAGACGGGCGAGCGGGCCAAAACAAAGTGTAACGTGGTGTAAAGGAGGGTTAAAGGGGCTGAGCAAAGAGGAAAAAATAAGGAAACCTGGAAACAAAACCACCTGAACACTAAGAGAGACAAAAAGGGTCATAGGAAGCATAAGGACGCCTGTAGAGAAGGCATAAGATGAATGCTGGGCAGAAAACGAAACGCTCAAGAGAGCGCGCAAACCCCGCGAGGGGACTGACTCGGGTGAAACGGCAGAGACCAAGAACAAGCTGCTCAGAAATGTAATGTAACAATGTCATCATCCACAACACTAACAACACGAACAAGCCTTAAAACTGCCACAACGGGAGGGAGGTCAGGCAACAAGGCGGCAAAGCGCAAGAACGGAGCCACTATCGACTACTGGCTATGTACAGGAGAAAGGAGGACGGGAGGATGCACACTGTGCAGGCCGTAATGAGCATGTAGGTCAGCAGCTCACACGCACTCGCTGTCGACATCGTCATCGTCACCAGCATCATCATTGACGGTGTTATGATGAAAGGCGCCACTGCTGCTGTCATCGCACGCACTCCCACTGGTATCGCTTCCATCGTTGTTCTCACCAACATTCTCACCACGACCATCACTGTCATTGTCGTCATTCTCAACTTCATGGTCAGTGTTGAGCTCTCCAGAGCGGCGATTACCACCATCACCACCACCACCACCATCATCATCATCGTCACCACTACCATCACCACCACCACCACTACCATCATCATCATCATCATCATCGTCATCGTCATCATCATCATCATCGTCATCGTCATCATCAGCTGCGGTAACCGTGAGAGGCTTCTCCGTGTCATCATTCTGTGGTCGTTTCATGTCGCTGTTGGGCTCAGCCCGGGCATGGTCGTGGTGGCCTGAACTCGCCCCCGCGTGTGCTGCATCGGCGTTGACAGGCAGATGCACTACAGCAAAAGTGTCGTCATCTTCGCCATCGTGCATGGCCGAGTGACCGTGCTCTGCTTGCGCCTGTACATGTGTCTGCGATTGGTCCTGGTGCCGGTGCTGCTCCTGCTCCACCTCACCAGACAGAATCTGGCTGGATGTGGGCGTGGGGGCAAGGTCGTCTTCCCACAGCCCAAGCCTCACGAGCATGCGATCCCAAGGCACATGCTGCTGCTGCTGTTGTTGTTGTTGCTGCTGTTGCAGAAGCTGGATGATGGCGCGCTGCAACCGCGCCCCTTGCGCACGTGAGCGGCTGTAGTGGTGCTCCATGATGCTCAGGCTCTCCCGCAGGTCCTTGTGCGTCATACGCGAGACTGCCTTGTACTTGCGGTTCTTGTGGCGCCGCCTTGCCTTCTTGAAGAGAATGTGCTCGTGCTGGGGCAGCGTCTGCATCATCCACGCGCGTGCGTCCCTCCACTCCGCCTCAAACATCTCCAGCGGATACTCTGCGCCCGCATCTCCGTCCGTGTCAGCCGCGCTGCCCTGGCTGGCACTGGCCGTGGAGTAGTGGCGATTCCGGTGCTGGGAGCCGTCTTGGCCCCGCTGCCCCTGCCTGGCCTGAGCTGCGCCCGCACCACGCCCACCATGGCGCGTGCTGTTCTTGTCCATCGCACGCTGCCCGACAGCGTTGCCACGCCGTTGCCGTGCAGCAGCAGCTGCTGCCCCGCCACTGCCGACACCGCCGCGCGCGCGCCCACGTCTGCGCTTCGCGCCATTCTTCTCAACGTCAGGCTTCCCATGCGATATTGCTGGTGGCGTGGTGGTCGCATTCATCGACATTCGCTCCATGCCGGCTGATGCAGAGACGGAGGATGAGTGCGATGCGGTGTTTGGCGCAGAGTGCCCCCGCTGTAACCCCACATGCCCGCTTCCATTGCCATTGCCATCGTGGTCACCCCCACCCCGCCTAGCGTCACCCTCTCGCATGCCCGCGGTCATGCTGGCGCCAGCACCGGCCCACGTTGTCTGCGGCTGCGGCCGCATGTGCACATCTGATGCCGATGCCGACACGGCTCGGCGGCGTCGGCTGCGCCTGCGTTGAGCGCGGATGGCTCCAGCGGCTGCGGAGGAGGAGGAGGAGGAGAAGGAGGGGTTGGTGATGGTGGTGCCTCGCACGCCCAGGGCGGTGGAAGTGAACGCCGAGGTGGATGCGGCCCGGGCATCCCGCGCGCGTGGCGATGGGCTCTGTCCTGCCGTTGCCGTTGCTGACGCAGGCCCTGATGCGGCCCTCGCTGAGCTGCTGGAGGATGCGCGTTTTCGCTGCTGCTCGGCGCCCTGGTGCGCTGTGCTGGAGGAGGATGGCAGAGGATCGACGGCGTCATCTATGGTGAACGGACGCTTCGCTGAGGGCGTACCCGGCGGGTGGCGCTGCTTGTCACGGTGTCGGTGCTTTCCGCGTGACCGCGCCCTGCGATCCCGCTTGCTGCCCTTCCTTCGCGTGGCGTGCTCATCACCAGTTCCCTCACCGCCATCACCGCCATCACCGCCATCACCTTTGTCGTCGTTGCCACTGGTTGGCAAATGGTCACGTCTCACTGGTCGCAAGCCATCCCCTCCCCTCATGCCCATGTTCTGTAGGCCGTGCGAGTCATCATTGTCACCACGAAAACCGCTGCCTCCGCCGTCTTCTGTGGCATTTTTCTCCAACAATGAGGAGGAGGAGTGCAGCTGCTGGGTGTTTTGGCCACCAGGAGGAGAGTCACCATGCTGCTGTTGCTGCTGTTGTTGTGATTGTGATTGTGATAGTTGTGGACCAGCCAGTTGTGCCGTGCTTGGCAATGGGCGGTGCGGCTGCTGCTGTTGATGTGGTATGCTGGCTTGGTCCATGGGCGCAGTCAACCCACCACCACCACCATCCCCGCCGCCGCCGCCGCCGCCATCACCAAAGGGCGGAAATGCTGCAGATGGGTTCATGGAGGCAAATGGAGGGTCCATTTGAGCCCACGCTGGTGGCTGGTGCTGGGTTGGCGGTTGCATGGACGGAGGGATGGCGTAGTACGGCAGCTGATGCGACCCAGGCATACTCCCTCGTCTGCTTGTCAAGACGCCCAAGGCGCCCCTCATTTGACCATGGAATTGGCCAAATGGGGAGAATGCGGTAAAGCCAAACCCGTGCGGCTGCTGTTGATGTTGCTGTTGATGCTGATGCTGATGCTGATGCTGATGCTGATGCTGATGCTGCTGTTGATGTTGTTGTTGATGCTGTTGTGGTAGTTGATTTCCGCGCTGCACCTGCTGCAGCAGCAACTGTTGTTGCTGTTGTTGTAGGTGATGCAGCAAGAGCTGTTGGTGTTGTTGTTGTTGTTGGTGTTGTTGTTGGTGTTGTTGTTGTTGTTGTTGTTGTTGCTGTTGCTGTACTTGTTGCTGTAACTGTTGTTGCTGTTGATGATGATGAAACGGCAAGTGCTGGTGTGGTTGCAGCTGTGGCGCCTGAGAACGCACGATTGCCGGGGGCACGATGGATGGGGGCACGCCGAGCGGTGCTGGTTGAAGCAAGTGTGCTTGTAGCTGTTGCTGTTGCTGCTGCTGTTGTTGTAGCTGTTGCTGTTGCTGAAGCTGGAGCTGTTGCTGTAGGTGTGGTGCCAGCACGGGGTGGGGAACCAGTCCGGCTAGCTGGCCATGCTGTCCTTGCTGTCCATGCTGTCCTTGTTGCTCGTGCTGTCCTTGCTGTCCTTGGTGGTGTGCATGTTGTGCATGTGCGTCATGGAGGACATCTGCGCCGCTCCGTCTGTGTTGCTGCCCGTCTTGCTGTTGCTGCTTGGCACTGTCGTCTTCTTCGCTTGGGCCGTCCATGCCGTGGCTAAGGACAGGTGTGCAATGTGGACGCAGATGATGTCAAGCGGAGAGGCAAAATGGAGACAAGGGAAATGATGGTGGTGGTGATGGTGTGTGAGAAACCGCACCAATGTGTGTTGGGGAAGGGGGGGGGGTATGGCTGGACGCGCGTGTTGTGTGCGATATAGCCCGTATGATGATGTGTTGACTGCGATGTGACTGTGCGATCGAGAGAGCTGGCGAAGTCGGCTGTGCGGTAGTGATTGTAGGGGCCAAGGAAAACGAAGATTGAAGGGGAAATGGAGTGGCACAGGCAGAAGGAAGGAGGAAGGCACGCTCAAAGAGAGGTGTTCGCCCGCCAAACAGCCAAGGACGTGGACAACACTAACACTCGACGAGTGCAACAAGATGGTGTAACGATAAGATGGTGTCGTCACGAAGCAAAAAAAAAAGGGTGTCAGACGGACAGGGCTGAAAGGAGAATGAACGTGCGAGGGAAAAGGAGGCAAGAAGGGTGCTCGGTCCTGCTGCCAGCAGTTCCAAGCGAAGCAAACAGCAGAGGTGTTGTGTGACAGTGCCCTTGTTGAGAAGCGGAGGAGGTAGAGGAGGAGGTGGAGGCGGAAGAGGAGGAGGAGGCGGAGGAAGAAGGGGAGGAGGAACAGGAGGTGTGGAAGGCAAATCTCACAGCCGACACCACCACCCCGCAGTCATTCGTGAAAGGTGACTCTCAGCCTTTGAGAGGAATGGGCCAATTGAGGTGGAGACAAGTGCATCAACGGAAAGACGTACAAAAAGGACAAGGAAAGCAGTAGCGCTCCAACAAGAGAAAGAGGCGCTTGTTGGGTTGGTGTTTTCGGTGGGGAGGTGGTTGGCGTGTTCAAGGAATGTGGCGAGTGTGCGTGTATGGTGTCCACACTACAGTTGTGTTTGTTGGTGCGGTTATGCGGTTGTAGGCTGGTGTGGTTGTGGCTGTGGCTGTGGTTGTGTGGTTATGTGGTTGTGGCTGTGGTTGTGTGGTTATGTGGTTGTGGCTGACGCAGCACCAAGACGTGCCAGGAGAGGGGCTGCAGACTGACACGCCGCCGCCACGCAGGAGAGGGCACAAGGTGCGTGTGGACAAACAAAGCAATGACAATGTTTGGCACGAGAGTGGAGGGTGGCCAAGGTTGCGTGCATGGGACGGACCGTTGTTGAGTTTGGGGATGTCCGTCAAAGTGAGGAAATGGCTAGCTTGGGTGCTGGAAGCTTGGGGGTTGGCCAACGACAAGATGTCCTGCAGCGCAGCACCATATGCTTCACGCACCCACACACACACACATTCAAGTGTGGGGAGTGTTGGTCAAGCCAGCGGCAGAGCGGCTGCTGTCGTAGGGTGGAAGCGAACAAAGACAGCAACAAGCAACAAGAAGCAAAGTCAGCAAGGGTGCAAGAATGCAAATGCGTGATGTGTGATGTGTGTGTGTGTGTGTGTGTGTGTGTGTACAAGTGGTCCAACAAGGGGTGCAAAGAGGAAAGACAAAAAGACAAAGGGGCACCGGAAGTCAGGAGACGGAAGATGGACAAGCAAGTGAAATGGAGTGAGTCTGAGTGGCATGGGGGTGTGATTTGAGTCAACTGACAATCTAACAATGGAAGAATGGAAGAAGATGGTAGGAGCGACACACACACACACGCACACACACGCACACACACGCACACACGCACACACAGGAAGATTCAGTGGGGGATGAGTCAAGCCGAACGCTTTCGCGAGTGAAAGGTGGACAGAGGGAACAGCAACACCAAACCAACCAACTCACCAAGCCAATAATGTAGCACCACCAACACAGCGCACCAAGCACCTACGGTAAATGAACGAATTGTGTCAAGCGCACACAGAACACAGAGACACACACGCATATGAGAGCGGAGCGGAGCAGGTGATCCATGCAGAGGCCAATGCAACACAAGCGAAAATGCACCCCCCCCCCCCCAATCCGTCCATCAAGAAGCAAGCACGCAAGTCGGGGAACAGCGGTGGTAGGTCGTGCCTTGAAGGGGAAGCGCATGCGGGGCGAGCGGGTGTGGGACACCGCGTGACTTGCTGAGCAACGACAGCAGTGTAAGCAGTACTGTTCTGCCCAGGGGGCGAGAAAAGCGTTGTGAATGTTTTTGTGCCTTGTGCTGCTTCCTGACCTCCTTCTTGCTTGCTTCTTGCTTGCTGTTTGTTTGCAAGTGCAAGAGTGCAACCTCCTTTGTTCGCCGCGCTGACGCAGTGGAAGAAAGAAACAGAAACGTCCACCACATCCACAACACACATCCACAACACACACACACAAAGGTCGAGAAAGAAAAGCACTCAGGAAAACGTGGCACCAGCTGACTGCCCGCTGAGCGGGTAGACACGGGTCAGCTACTGTATTGCTGTGAGATTCAAGAAGACACAAGAGGAAGAATGCCGCGTATCGCAATGTCTCACGTCAAATAACAACATTGTCACATCGTGTGAAACGACCCACACGCACACAAGCAACGGAAAACACAAAGGTACATTCACACAATAGGGACTTTGGTTAGGTCGGTGAGTCGTGGCAACACGACCAACGCTTGCGTGGTGCTGCAGCGTTGCAGCGAGCGCACGACATGTTGACAACGCGCGTGGCTCGCCCACAAAAACGCTATGCGCATGCAGGCGAAGGAGATCATGCCAAACGGCAAGTAGATGAATCAAAGAATCAATCAAAGAATCAATCACGTCAACACACTGCAGCAGCAACCCGAAACAAACCCTCCGAGTCAGCCAGTGTGATGGCTGGCTGGTTGGAGAGTGATCCAAAAAGGCAGCGCAAGCGAGCGTATTCGACCCACCTCCTCACCTCGCCACATCCATCAAAAAGAAAAGCCTCAACTCGCGCACGTAACAACCGAAAAGGGTGAACGCGAGAGGGTTGCGATGGCGTTTTTCGTTGTTCGTTCGCTGTGTGCGCGTGCGTCAGGGTCTGCGTCTGCATGCGTGACGCAACGGCCGACTCCCTTTGTTTCGTGTGACGAGTTTAGTTTTGACTGGGAAGTGCGGGAACATCGAATCGGACAACTGTCCCACCCGATTGACAGAAACTTATGGAATCATTTTACAGATGTTCGACTCCTTGGACAATCTTGCAGGATTCTAATTTTGGGTCAATGCATCGTTCGTTCGGGACAAACTGCATGTCGAAACGAAACAAAAAACCAAAACCAATTTTGACCTCCAATCGTCGCGTCAATCAAAGACAGCAAACACACACACACACACATAAGTACACACACACATGCACACACACACACACACATGCACTCCGACACACGCACACACACATGCACACACATTCCCCCCCAGACACACACGCACACACACACACACACACAAGCACACAAGCGCAACTGCTACAAATGAGTGTCTGCAATGGATTGACGGCGAATCTCAGAGTTGGACATGGGAGACGGGTTAATGTCCAGCCGTGCGTCGCCGCCACCAAGGACAACAACACCTTCACCACCAACTTCACTGCTCAAGCTGTTTGTCGCGCTGCCACGGCCAAACATGACATCACCGCCGATTCCAGCAAACGTGGACGGCACATACCCTTGCTCAAACCCTTGCGGCGGCGGCGGCGGTGGAGGCCCGGTCGCCCCGTGTGCCGCCAGCGCCCCTTGCCCGCGCCCTCCCCTTCCTCCATCAAGCGGCGGCGCATACGCATCATACGCCTCCTGGCTTGCATACCCATAAGGTAAGCTCTCGCCCTGCTGCTGCTGCTGCTGCTGCTGCGGCCGCGGATGCATGCTCGCAACTTGCAGCGCCTGAATCAGGTCGTCGTAGCTCTCGGAGAAAATATCATCGTCGTCCTCCCCGCTCCGGCCCAGCTTGGTCTCCGCATCCACCGCTGCAAGCGAATCCGGGTACTCAACAGCGGTGCGGCCCTGCATCCGTGCCTGCTGACCAGCGCCAGCACCAGCACCGCCAAGGCGACGCGACCCCATCATGGCCAGCGATGGCTCCAGCTCCACATCATAGGCCCGCTGCGGGGGCGAGGCTGGCTCATCCACAAACGTCGACATGGGAATGCTTGTCGCGGTCACATCCAAGTCATCAAACATACCGCCACCGCCACCGCCAGTCCGGCGGCCTCGTCCACCACCGCCACCAGCACCGCCACCACCCACATGCGATTTGCTGGCCAGGCCATACGACAGGTCCCCTGGTACACCACGCGCGCCCGCTCTGGCTGTGGTCGTGGTGGTGATGGCTGAGCCGCCACTGCGGGGTTTCTGGGCAATGTAGAAGAACAGCACGTGCATGCAGCACAAGATGGCCGTGCCCAGCTGCAGCCACTTGCCCACGCCCGCGTCCACCAGCAGCGCGACCGCCGTCGCCGCCCAGAACAGGAGCAGCAGCACCCCAAGCCCCGCCCGCACAGAGAGCTCCCCGGCGTTGCTTCGCCCGGAAAACAGGTCCTGGTGCCGGCCCCACTCTTCCTCGCTCGGGAGCAGCGCCCGCCGCGCAAGCAGCGGTGCCAGCGCCGCGGCAACCACAAACGGCAGCACCGTGGCCGCCCACGCACCGGCGGTCACCCGCGGGATGGCGCAAAAGTCGAGCGTGTTGCGCACGGGCCCATACGTGTTGCCGCTGAAGCTGTCCACCAGCGCGCCCCGGTGCACCGCAATGTACACCACAATCACCACAGACGCCAGCGCCCAGCACGCAGCGAGGCCGCGGCCGTACGTCTCCTCGCCCGTCGTCACCACCTTGTGCGCATGCATGCTCGCATACACGCAAGTGCACAGGCACGCCAGCACCATGGCGTGCACAAACACACCCAGTGTCGCACAGCTGTCGGCGTCCAGCGAGTCGGAGACAAGCGAGGACACCAGCAGCAGCACACACGCCACAACCACGCTGGCAAACATGTGCAGCTGCACCTTCGTGGCGGGCAACATGTCGTACCCACACACGCCCTGCGCCACCACCACCACCGTAAACGCCACAATCATAAAGATGAACGCGGCGTTGGACACGGGCGGCAGGCTCTCGGCCACGTCCTCAGCCACCAGCACCGCAAACGCAGTCGCGTGCGTGCATCGGCATTCCACAAACGCAGTCGCATCGTGGCGCGCGCCACCTCCGCTGCCGTCACTGCCTTCGGGCGAAACCGTCGCACATCCTTCGCTCGTCCATGCACCGGCACCGTCGCTCAAGCCAGCGTCCCACCACACGCACACGTACCCTGCAATGTGCGCGTCTGTGACGCCCGCATCGCCTTGCTGCTCCAGCGTCGGCACACGATACACGAGCGGGTTGGCCGGGTTCACCAGCGCGTCCACCGTCGTCTCCGGCAAGGTGATGGAAAGCACGGTGTTCTGCAACAGCCTG